AACAATCCATTGGAATAATCATATTGATAGTGTTAGACTTAAGCTTAGTAAACATATATATCTACTTCGTCAATTGAGACAAACAGTTTCTTTCGATGTTCTTAAACTTCTATATCACAGTTTGATTCAATCTGTCATAGCTTATGGTCTAGAACAATGGGGTTTATCTGCCAAATCTTCCGAAGTATTTATTATACAGAAAAAAGCAATAAGAATTATGGCAGGTGCATCATCCAGAGATCATTGCAGGCCATTATTCATACAGTATGATATTTTAACAATGCCCAGTTTGTATATCTATCAAACTTTGATATATATCAGGAATCATTTTTCAAGTATACCCAAAATTAAACAAATTCATGATCATTTCACTAGGAATTGTAATCAATTGCATCCACCTCGTAGTAGATTGTCAGTAGCACAGAATCATCCCATGTACTATGGAGTTAAGCTATATAATAATCTCAGTGAAGACATTAAATTGTCTACAAATCTTAATGTGTTCAAAAGGCAACTCAAATCATTTTTATTGCGAAAAGCATATTACTCAGTCGATGAATTTCTCCTGGAATCATGATGTGAGTAAATATTCTAATGATCAGATTATTTTAATGATATTTTAATGTTTAATGTTGTTTGTAAATATATTTGTCTAGTATATCATTGATGTTTTATACACATTCTCAATTTCTTTTTTTTCAAGTTGATGGTTAGTGTTTATATTAAGTATTGATGTTTTAACTTTTTTAATAAATATATTCATTTTTCATTGTATGACCTGTTGAATTAGTTAGTATTCTACAATGATGTTATGATTCTTTCCTAATTTCTATTGTAGATGAAAACTTATTTAATGAAAGTTTGATTGATTGATTGATTGATATAAGCAACTGGAATACATACCTGGTCAGCTGATTTACCGAGCTAAATGAAAATTTTCAACGGACGCAATGCAAAAAGTAACTCTTGGAAACAAGAGATGAGTCAGCACTTGTTTACACAATCTCTTTAGTTGACATGATCGGCATTTACGCCATTTGTGAGTACATCTCAATATTACGAGTTTCTTGCATATTACAGAATACTACCACGACATTATTTCGTTGAAAAATTTCAATAGATGTAGATAGTAGAGCATAATTGGCAGTGTACTCAGATGAGTACAGTGGGAGGTAATGGGTTTTAATAACAGATGAGAATGTGTATCGATTAAAATAATGGCCAACTTATAATTATTATCGTAATTCAATAGGTCAAAAATGGTTACGAAGATTAATAAGGATGTTGAGATAAAAAGATCGATGTTCGTGTTTCGATTTTACACAAAAGGACCGAAAAATATATGGGTTGTTCCGTTTGAAAAACTCGAGCAAATCACTTCGAAAAGTTACTAATCGAAAAATCATTTCCAGCCACCCTGTATAATTTAAGGGCATGAGAATTCTTCAGGAATATCACGCATATTTCGATCAAATGATATTATGATTATTATTTCTCATCTTATCTCATTTCATAATTGTGACGACATATTCGATTTTTTTTGTATCCCTCTATTGACATTTAATTCTCTCCTTGGATCAATTAAATCTGATTGAACTGGTTATCTTCCATTTTATTGCATTTTTTTTGTATCCCTCTATTAACATTGTATGTTTCGTGGGATGAATAAATTTTGTTATTATTATTATTATTTTTCAAACCATTTTGTATAGGTAGTACATGGTCGTATTCATAAATGGATAAAAACTTTCAAAATCTCTCAACATGAAAACAAGACCGTATTTAAAAAAAATGATAATGGTTCTACAAATACAAAATGTCGCATATGCTATGGAAAAGTATTTTCAGTGTTTCTTGGTCACACAATATATTATTTGTATTTATTTATTTATAGTGTTACCACATTGTACAATGTTTACACTCGTCAATATATATAAAAAAATCGTTTTTGATAAAAAGTAGATGAATGAAAAAAAAATAAAGGAAATAGAATAAATAACAATAAACATGATCACATTAGTCAAACAAACATATACACTTAGTTCTATAAATATCACATTTCAGTATTGTTAACTAGAAGTTTCATAAATCTATATCATGTCATGTGTCAATAAGGCTGTGAAGCCCTGAATAGAGTAGAAACATTCTCTGATCAGATATTTTTTCAATTTACATTCGAAGGGCATTGAATTTAATTTGTTCATATCATCAGGTAAATTGTTGAAAAAACTCGGACCATAGAAATTGAAACATTGTTGAGATTTCTGAAGTCTATTTGTAGCAATGACAATATTATTGTTATTTCTCGTATTTTGAGAATGGCATTGATAAATGTACATACTAGGCAAACTAAGGAAATTATATTCAATAAATAGGTCTAACTGCTTGTTTTTGTTGCCTAAAAAGGTCTTGCATGTTTGCGCTGTGTCAGGGCCTACTCTATCTACCGGGCCGTAGTCTATCCCCTCTCTCTCGACACTGACGTCACACTAGTAGGTTGAGATTTCACATCAGTCCGTACTGATGCGTTCGTAATTGATAGGCTATAGCTCATTTACTATAAATCGTAGAAGCACACTCAATCGAGACGAAATGATCCCCAACAAATTCCTCAACTTTTGGTGAAAAAATGAATCCAATAGGATGAATCAATACCGAGTTATGGCGTTGTAACGAAATTCCATTTTATTGAAAATCAGGACGTTGTACTACAGAATACTATTTTTTGCAAATTTGGAATTGGAATAAGATGACACTAACTCAATATATCAAACTACGATAATGAATCAATTGAATGGTGAAAAAATTGTAGAGTTACCTACAATGAGTCCGAAGGAAATTAAATATAAAGAGCGCGTAAAAAATGGGCCGTTATACCTACCTGCCCAAATTTCGCTGCATTACGATTTCGCGGTAATTCCTTGGACTGGTAAAGGGCGATATACTTTTTATTACTCATTTTATTTTTAAATGGCGTATGGTTCAGACCAACTAATATTGGTGTCTGAAAAATTCGAAACAATATTTCTAGAATGTAAGTCACAACATAAAGTTTCGGAGAATTTAGCAGAAATTAAAATCAATTCCCTGCTCAATTATTCCGAGAATCAATGTTGCAGTTGTGGGTCTTTTGATCTAATCAGCAGAACATTATCTTAAACCATTTCAAATATTCTGTTGAACAATTGCAAAATAAAAAGAAATTAAAAAAGAAAAATCACTAAACTTTCAGGATCATATAGACACAACTGCTATATATAGTTCAGATTTCAATTTTTAGTTTGTGATTAACATGATGTATATATTTTTTTGTTATTAGTGTATTTCATTTTGTGATATCTATATTTTTTTTTTATTTTGTTATGTTGATCATTTTTACAGTTTATTTTGTTTGTGTATAAGGATTCAACGTTTTTTTTTTTTCATTTTTTCCTTATTCATTGATATATCGTTGTTCTGGGTATTTTTTTATTCGGTTCGTTATATTCATTTTATATCTCTCATTGTTGAGATACATATTTTTTCAATTATTTTTGTCAGGTTGTGTTCATATGAACTCCACATATTTTGTTCTTTTGATAGTTTGCAAATATATTCAAATAAAATTTTTTACATGAATTTAACGTTATCATTTAAATATATACTCTTCAGCAGAAAATAATTGATACCGAAAAGGCGTTTTTGTGTGATAACACACTCGAGTGATAGGATTTCTAACGTCATCAAAGTGCGTCCTGATCATCTTTAGAGATAAACGCTGCTAAAATCCTTCGAGATAAAGTGGATGTGTATTATACCGATTTGTAGGCAATCAAATTTTCTACAAAAAAGTCAGTGACAGCATATATCCATAGTTGATAGGAATAGCATGGGAGGCGTCCGAACTTTTTGAATTATTCTGTAATGAACACCTGAATCATCGTTCTACTTGAATTGAAATATCGGTTTGTTGTTGGCCCTTGGGAATTTAAAAAAAAAAACTCAGTCAATCTAGATACTATGCGAAATCTTTTCATGGTTGAATCATTTCTGTGAATTGAATATTGGAATTTTGGTAGCTGTTTAAAAAAGGACAATTCTGAATGGCGTCAATTAATTTTGATATGTCATATTTCTGAAATTAATGATCGTAAATCAGTGTAATTTTATTCATCTTCTGGAAAATTCTTTTCTGTACATATTTGACCTCTTGATATTTTTTGCTAACCGTGACCGTTTTCCCGAGGTAAATCAATGAAACGGGAGAGACAATTTCCACTGCGTTGATTTTGTCCCTACTAGTGTGACGTCACGAAAGCGATGCTCCGGCCCGGTGAGATAGAGTAGGCCCTGGCTGTGTCCCCAAATCAGAATCCCATATTGCAAGTGACTATTTATGGAAGGAAAGTATGCCATTCGCATCAAATCATGTGATACCGATCTCCTCAATCGCCTCAATGAAAACAAATTTGAAGCTAGTTTCTTCGCGAGATGTTCGGTATATGAAACGTTCCATGTAGATTTGCTGTCGATATGGAATCCTAATAATTCAACTGGGGCAATATTTGTAGTATTCTTCCTAGTTGCTACAGGTTTTTTTTTACATTCATTTTCAGTTTGATTAGAGAAAAATATGACTGCAATTTTTTCAGCGTTATCGGAATATTCATGAACATCATCAATAACTTCATTCTGGTTTATGAAAGTAGCATCATCTGCATAAAGGATAGTGTCAGTGTTCTCCAGTCTACGAGGAAGGTCATTTATGTAAACCAAGAATAATATTGGGTCTGAAATAGAGCCCTGAGGAACGCCATAGTCATTGTTCTTGTAACTTGATCTCTGACCGTTTAATTCACCAAATTGTTTTCTATTCGATAAATAAGAGACAATAAGTTTCAGAGCCGTACCTCCGATTTCATTTCCAATTTCAATATGGAGTGATCTATGCAATCAAATGCTTATTATTATTATTATTATTATTATTAGGTGCACCATAGGTGATAATAATAATGTTCTAGGTATGTCTTGAAACCTCAGAGAGAAGGCGGTGGCAACAATATTTACGGTGCCGAAATAAGAGAAGAACTTCTCAGGATGCGAGATAGCAAAGAAAGGACAGCCTGGATATTGATGGATAGAATCTGTCCGCCTATCACAAAAGGGTATATGATACGGCCTGGTGCTTCAACGTTACCTCCAATCTTAGAAATGGTATCAGAGCTAGGAATTTTCGGCGTACTAATAGGGTAAGAAATACTTTAGAATTAATGTATATTTATTTTACTCCCAGGTTTACTGTTCACAGTATAGTGATATTTTGATGACTCGTCTAGATCAATCGGTTTGGAGGAATTACAAAGGAAATACGTCTAATATTAGTATATAATAAAGCTATTTTGGAAAGTGACAGCGAGCAAACGTTTAGCATAATCTGCATAGCTGCATAGTACCTAACGCTCACTTTCCAACGAGTTTTGTACACTATATTTCTTACAAACATGTTTATCAAATATATTATGTGAATTACGAGAACTCATCGGAAGATATAGAGAATAAGTCTGGCTTCTTATAGAGTACTGCAGGAAAGAATAATGTGAGCCATGAGCACAATATAAATGTTTCGATCGTCAAGTCCACTGTCAATTTAAAAACGGAATCTCAAGAGCTCGCTAAAAATGATGGTATCAATGCAAAAGTGCAGTCAGTTATATCGTTCATGACAATATGAAAGCAACGTCATCTGCAAATATTGTTTAGATACTCTAGATAGGTTCCGAGGACTGAACGCCTTTATCCTCTCCCTTTTGTCCCAGGCCAGACTTCTTTGGCGGGTCCAACATCATCCCAGACAGCACCAGATATTCCATGAATCTCTCTATCATATTCCTTTTGGGAGATTCGAATATCCTAAGAATAATCTGGAATATTCTAGAATAGCTGTGGATCATTTTCTGAATACGAAAATGAAAATTCCTCAGATTTTCATAGCATAAGAATTTCTTCAATAATAATAATAATCTTTATTACTCCCCAGAAACAAATTCCAAAATATAAATAAATGAGGCAAGATGGGATCGAACCCGTGACTTCTAGACTATCAGTTGTTGTAAGAGCGGGCGTTGTTCAGGATAGGATCATAAACAGTTCTCTTTTCCAAATCCCCTTACATATAATAATTAATGTTTGATACTCACATGTCTTGAAAAATATGGAAATATTGAATGGAATATTTCATGAATATTCAATACAGAATATTCAGTTGGGAACATTTCATGAAAATGAGAACATTCAGTTGGGAATATTTCATGAAGATGCAACACTGAATATTCAGTTGGGAATATTCCTGGAACCTTAACACCTGAATATCCAAGGGAGGTGTTTCCCGAGGCATATAACCTTCAAAAATTCAAGAATAACAGCAATTCCTTCCTTATTTCCCTTGGTTCTCAAGATGTTCCCTGAACATTACAGGATATCCCTTTTCGTGGGAACCAGAACATAAAAAAACAATCCAACTAAAACAGTGGCGTAACTAGAATTTTTTGGCCTCAACGCAAAATACATAAGGGGGGTCCCTTTCAGTCACAAATCACAAATAGTAAAAAAATAAAACAACGAGCTGAACAGGCATCATTCTTCTAATATTTTATTTTACATAATTATACTACAACACTGAGTAACAACATATTTTTTTCATAAATAAAAAAAACTTCAGAATAACTTCTGATTTTCTGAGTAAAGTGAAACTCAACGTCTTTTTTCATTGAATAAAAACAAAACTTCAAATACCTTCAACTATTACATTCAAACTGAAATTATTGAACAATGAATGTTTTTTTTTTGGCTTCACACATTGCAAATTCATTTATCAAATATCTCAGGTCTAATTTGTTGGCAGCTTCACTTTCGATGGAAATTAAAGATAAATATTTTTTGCCCCCTCCCTTATTTCTGGAGTTGTAAGTACTTCCAGGTCGCTATCACTGTCCATTATATAATAATTCAAATATACCGATATTTTTTCGCACAACTGTCAGAATTTTCATGAATTGTCAAACTATAATTATCATGGACAACTGCGATTTCTGTCAAATTTGTTCTAATTGAACACTACAGGAAAAATAAAGAGATTGTGGGAATTGTAATAACTTGCAATAACAATATCCTCCTATATCATTATGAACAATCGGAGAAAAAAGTATATGTTCAACTTGGCAGCAAACAAGATTGACTGCCTTAGCTGGATTCCTATCCTCGCTACGCTCGGCTATGAATTCAGCTTCGGCAGTCAATCTACTACTTTGCTGCCTAGTTAAACAAATAACTATTCATTAACAACAAATCGGCAAAATTTTTCACAGACATTTCTGGATTTAACCCTGATTTCAACAATGTAACCATGTTAATAAACTGTAAAGACAAATTGGGCGATATTTGAGAATATTTGTTTTGAATAAAGTCACACCTCTCAAGGATTTCCGACTCTGTTGAATTTATGTTCAGGTTGTGAAAATAAAAAGATATCACTCACTTTATTGAACCCTGTAAATCTATTTGTTAACTGACCGCTGGCGCCCAGAACTAATGCAGAACATAGTAAAAATAATGTGACAGAAGTGTCACTAGATTCAGTTGAAAAAAAACCTTCAATATTAGGAACTGCATCAAATATTCGCATATACAAGTTTTTTATTTTTCATTAAAGAATAAAGAATGAGTAGTCCGAAGAGTGGGCCCCCCAAGCTTGGGGGCCCCAACGCATTGCTCTCACTTGTCTTATGGTAGTTACGCCACTGAACTAAAATATTCTGAGAGGATTCACTTCTGCTTGGATGTTCCATTGGCATGTATATATTCTAGGAATATTCGGTGGATATTCGGAATATACTCCTTCTTTTAAGCATATTTAGAGAATATTCTAAGAATATCCAGTGTTATCTGGGATGATTCTAGATACCTATATTCAATATCACACCAAATTGATATTTACGAATGTTTTACATAATATCAAATCAGCTCATTCAATGAACAGACAATATATTGTTTGCTTACTCGAGCGATTTATTGATATTTGACAAAAAGTTTAATAAAAAGTTGTTCCATTACGCAACCTGAGTACAGCATTTTGCTCCGTCGCAGTGAACTCAGCTGAAACTCAACATTAGCTCAACATCAACCCAACATCTTCTTAACATATCAATCCATCATCAGCTTGACATTAATTCAAGATATCTCTAACTCGCCTTACTGTACCTATATCTGTACCAAAGATGAAGATGACTTATTCAAGTAGTTTCTGATATGACTTCTCTTTTTCGAGTTATTCTCAAAAAAAACTTGATTTCCAGATTTTCAATTTTATTTTTTTCTCGCGTTAATAATGGTATGACGAAACTGAAAATATATCTTCATGGCAACTTTTGCTGTTTCTCACTTCTGCATCATCGATCTTCTGATCCAACGTTTCGTCTTTGAGCATCCGTCATCAACTTCATTTTTTCAATCACGGCCCTGATATTTCGAATATTTGATCCGAATTCAATTTTTGTATTTCCTTTAGCGCATAAATATTCTATGCGCCAAATAATCTATTGGAATAATTGAAATTTGTTACTGTTTGACATGGTTTTTCATAATTGAAAACTGTTGTTTTGATAGTTTCTCGATTAACTTCTGACTCAGCCTTCACAATGTGTTCAATTTTTTCGACATTCAAAACTATTCCGGAGGTTGAGAGGTAATATCAATATCTCGTATAAATTCAGCAATATGCGATTATGGTACGCATCAAATTAAGCCTCTACTCAATATTACCTGAAGACATGTCTTAAGTTTCTCGCATATATCTCCGGAACCTCTACATTTACGCATGCAGAATGTTTTTCTAGGTTGAGTATTGATAATCCTAACTGATGCCATTCACTAATTTGATAATTCATCTGTCTGAGATGAATTTGAATGAAAATTCGACGACATACGAACCTTACTACTCCACTGGTTGACGAAATTCAAAAATGAAAACTCCCTGTGACTACTCTGATTGAATATACTTTATTATTATTATTATTTTTATCATTATTATTATACGAATAAGGGATATACGGAGATACGTGGGATAGCTGATGATTGATGGACATTGAATATCTATTTCTTCCAGGAATTCAGAGGAAATTTTGTCGAAAAAACAACTTGGGCATATGTTAAGAACTAAAATTGCCACTGCTAACGAGGGAGGAGTAGCAGCGGGAGACGGATCATTAGATAGCCCATATTTATTGGACTGAAAATATATCTATTTCATCATTCACTTGTATATTATTTGTTTTTTATATTAGCTTTGTATGTATATATGTTTGTTTGTTCGTAACCGAATTTTTCAAACGTGATTTTGATCCACTTCAAAAAGTCGAATTAAATTCAAACTTACACAGCATAATTTGAAGTTTTGTTTCATCATCCTGATCACGATCTCCAGGATGAGCGATTTTTTTTCTCGAATAAAATGGGGAATTCTGTTCGGTCACCAACATTTTGAATGTTCTGCCACCAAGATTTCAAATGTTCGTTTTTATTTCTTCGAATAACTCTTCAAATCCAGAGACACCGCCAGTATGTTATTTTATTTATTTATTCATTTATTTATTTATTGAACATATAACTTCCAGGCAGAATGGGCTCTGGTATAAGGAAGTACATAATTATATATTATTTACCTATTATTTTATATATTATATACCTATAGGTAAACATAGCATCATTCAAAATACATCAACAACTGTAAATTGGCAAACAAAGAATAATATTTGTAAAAAAAACAAAAAAAAATGGCAAGACTAATTTTATCCAGTTCGCTCAGAAATAATCAGTTTTTTTACTTCATTTTTGAATGTACCTATATTTCTGCAGTTTTTTATATTATTAGGTAGTTTATTGAATTCAATTAAGGCTAAATGATCGAGTGAATCTTTTTTGTCCGATTATGGAGCTAGCGGCGTCAAGATGAAACAAGTTATATTGTCTAGTTTCACGATTCCGTATCAAAATAATATTCGACTTCAATTTTTTATTTATGATATCATATGATATTTTAAGAGTTTCAATTCTATATATTTCATCTAAAGAATACGTATTTGTTATTTCATACAGATTATTTTTTGAACAAGATCACAAGATCCCCAAACATTTATCAAATAGTTGATACGACTCAGTATATGAGAGTAGAGAATCATGTTTGCAATGTTAATATCAAGTTTGGAACATCTTCTCAATGCACCAATAATTGGAGATATTTTTTTTGTTAGAACATCAATATGTTTGTCTCACTTCAACCTGTCATCAAACCAAATACCAAGATATCTTATCTGGTCAGTTTGTTTTAAGAGTTCATTTTTTATTACAAGGTTGAGGTAAATTTTTTGTTTATTTTTTGGGTGAAAAATCTTATATTCTGTTTTGTTAGTATTTATCGACGAAAGGTTAGATTGGAGCCATTTTTCAAATATCATTAAGTCTTCATTTATCATATTTTCTGAATTCGAAGGATTCTTGCCTTCATATAAAAGTAATGTATCATCTGCATACATGGTATATTTACTCGTTAGACCAATTTCATTGATATTTTGAACATAAAGTAAATATAGTATAGGTCCTAAAACAGAGCCTTGTGGGACATATATCCTTATTGATTAATAGTTTATCTGACACAGAGTTGTTTGATTTTGTATTGATTGTCCTATTTTGAAGATATGAATTCAAAATATTTCTCACAGTGCCTCTGAGTCCCATTGTTTCTAAGTTTTCTAAAAGTGTTGTATGATCAACTGTGTCAAAAGGTAAGTAGATATACTGTATGGGGTATGGGGCCATGAATACCAGCAAGGGCAAACCATCATGTGTTAGACAGAGACACTCGAAAACCAATGCGTCAGAGAGGGAGACACATTGGTAGTGACGTCACGACATGACATCATCATTGACTGAATTGAATAATAGTACATTGTTTGCGAGGCGAAGCGACCGCGATGCCGAGCACGCAAATCTTATTGCGAGTCAAAACTGAGTCACTTTTGATCCGAGCATGTCAGTGTCAAAGCAGCTATCATATCATCTATCATCCGACACACTTTCAGTTCCTAGGAAATATACTTCAACTTTAGCTCCTAGACACTGAAAGTGTTGCCACTATACATACTAATCATTTTATTGTGTCGGAAATTTCAACTTCGAGAGCTAATTTTGGAACAAAAATCGACGACTTTTGAGCCGATTGCAGAAAAATAAATTTCAAAAAGCAATCACCACTGGGGAATTGAATCGGGGACCTCTGCGTTATAAGGCAGCGTACATACGCACTGTTTAAATCCATTTATTATGCATTGAAATATTCGAAAGACATGCACTTGGTATAGATAAAATCCTTAAAAAATAACATGTATAAATAATATAGTAATAGTAGTATAGTAATAAAGAACCTTTCAGGAATACCTCTCGGTTCCCAGAGGTTGACCACGAGTGGCGCAGTGGGGGTCGGACTCATTCAACAAGTGTGTTGGAAACGATAACCGAGCTACGTCACAGGACATGGTCCTTATTTCTGTACCTAATCGTTATACCCACTATCGTCTCGATGGTATCGAGCTAATTGGGTGAACGGCTCAGGGCGAGGCGAGCAAAAATTCAAATTCAAAAACAAAAACCACAATTAAGCCAATTCGGCGTGCATATAGGGCTCTGTCAGGGAAAGGGGGCGCGTGAGGGTTAGGATGAGTGTCCAGGGATGCATAAGGAGTAACAGACTGGATTATTGCATATCGAAATTGCGGAACAAAGTCTGCGTGTATATTTGCCGGCCGTTGCCAGCAGAAGTGCGCTTAGCGCTGATGTACTCGAAGGTCGTTCAAATGGTTCAGTCTTCGGCCCGATCAAACCACCTCCGAGTCGCGAAAGTAATTTTTTATTCACGTTAGGGGGGGGGGGATTCTGTCTGTTGGGGTAGATTGGGAAGGTGGATGGTAATTTCAGGAGATCATAGCACTGTGCGTTCATATATATGCCACTCGAGAGTATCTGCTATTACCGTTGTATTTATACGAAGTACCTTCCTCATTCCGCGGTATTTGAAAAGCTACTTATATATGATCGAATAAACGAAATACTATAGAACACCGTACAGGCGTCTGAACTGTGGTATTCAGGCTTCCCTAATAAATTGATTATTCTAATGGTATTCAAACAAGATGTTTTTATATCAGACGTTGCATAGGATGAAACTTCCGAAGAGAAGAGTCGCCTGCTTGAACGTATGCAGCGATCACTTTAACTTGAACAATGGTGCCAGGTGTTTGAAGTAGGAAAATGATATGAGGTATGTGTACACTGGGTCCCTTGCATTTCGGTGGCACAATCAATAAAAGCACGAGTATCGACCTTCCATCACGACCTAATAAAGAGAATTTTTTCATGGGGCATTCCAAAAATGTTGATTGATTGATTGTACGACTAGAAAGTTTGTCAGTTTAAAGATTCCAAGCAATTGAGCAAAATTGGATCAAGATCAAGATACTGTCAATGTTATTAAAATTTTGACACTTTCATGTACAATAATCTGTTCACTTATTTTAATCTCAAATGTTATCATCAGAATACTGAGAAATGATAGGGGACGTGATGAATAAAAACTCTTCAAATTATTATATAGTTTCTCATTCAGATGATGACAAGATCTGGTAATTTTTGCGAGATCTGGTGACTTTTTCGCACTCGTATATCTTCAAGGATTTCGTTATCATTCAAGGAATTCATATTGCGCAATATTTCGCGTGTGACCATAAGCTATGACGTCACTGCCACAGTCCAGCCAGCTAAGTGAATTGAAAAAAGTCTATGCGCTGGGAATCGAACCCTGGGCCTCCAGACTGCGAGCCAAACCCGCTAACGATAACGCCACCAGTCAATATCTAATAACGGGGACTTTAATTGTCGGAGAAACAGAGAGTAATTTTGGCAGCGGTGTGTTAGGTGGTTTCGGAAACACTGTATGGGCAGGGGCGTGTTAGGTGTAGGGGGTTAGGGAGTATGTCAACATTGTGAAAAAATCACCGGATGTAAATAACGGAAAAACATGGAAATACATTTTTTTTGTGAAAAATCACCGGATGTAAATAACGAAAAAACATGAAAATACATCTTTTTTGTGAAAAATACGATTGCTTTACGCAAAACTTATTCATCTAAGTAATTAATGGTAGAGAAAAAAATGGCAGCCAACACAAAAAACCTTCACCAGATATACAGGGTGTATACAGTCTCCGCACACAGAAAAAACACACATGGCTGCCTTCACACAAAAAAAAACATGACAATCATTAGAAAAGCATTCAACAAAAAAGATAGTGTCCCCACAAAGAAAAAATCACCGCTGTAATAAGAGTTCTCATAACGTCCAACCGCGACTTTTATGTTCTCTAAAGAAGAGCGTCGTACCTATACTTACCTGCAGAATCGGATTCCTCTGTATCCCCCTGCATTTTTTATGAATTGTACAACAGCACAATGTGATGGCATGCTTGAATTAACGAAAAGGCAAAAACACGATTTGTATGACAAAATAATTGTTGAAAACTACTTCAATCCTTATTCGATTCCTTCGTCAAATAATGAGAAAAATGAGGTTGTGTTTCAATGTTGCACCTTCAGGGTCGGTCATCTGACAGATTTTGCACGCAACCGATACCTACATTAGGGTTAGAGTTTCCGAAAAATAAACATGACATTTTGAAAAAGATAACAGATTTGGACTGGAACACCGAATGATGAATTGAAGCATCTAAAGAGTTCAGAGTAATATATATATATATATATACACATTCAGCAGAGAGGTTTCAAGTCATAAGTATACTAAATTTTGTTTCGTTTTTCTAAACTTGTTACCCGCATAATGCTTCATAAATCCACCAGTGTATCAATCGGAAATAATATAGAATCATACACAAAATCATTATGAATATTTGAAACATTTTCAAACTGTGAGAATAACTTACAATTCTGTAATTTTTTGATGGCGGCTGATGTCAGCAATGTGGCAAAAATTCTATCATTTCAATTAAATTTTTTCTTCAGGAGTATCTTTCTTTCCTATGTTTTTAGAAAAGATCTGTTTATAGATGAACATCGAATTCTAGATATTGGAGGTTTTGTTTTCTATTAGGCAATCCGAACCACGTGACATTTTAGCTGACAAGATGGCGTCTGGTTGGCAAACAAAGGTTATACATCACTTGTAATT